TATCGCTATCGAGCACATCACGTAACCTTAGCCGGCATGACCAGCATGAGGCGGTACTTGTGGTTCTGGAGCTTTGTGTTGCGCTTGACTGCTGCGTGCACGACTAACTCGCCCCACGCAACCACATGGTCGGGCTACAAAGATGCCGCTGACAGCAGAAAAGTCGTCGCATCCTGGGTACCAGTACGTTCCCGGTGGCAGGTCGTGTTGGAGGTACGCGAGGCAGGCTGCACTGGTGGCATGACTGCTCACCACGGCGCAGCTGGCGTCGACGAGCAGCTCGGGTTCTTCCTGCGAAATCATCAGTTTGAGCACTCTGTTAGATCGAAGAGCAGGGCACGTTCACTGCTTGCTTGTCACAATGATTGGATTGGAAGATACAAGCATTAGCGATCAAGTCGAGCTATATGTAATCAGTTCCGTCAAACTTGCAGTAGTGTAGGGTTCGCGACAGCTCAACGACCCCCGTGCACACGACAAATTCGTCAATCTCGGGTGCAAATTCGAGACCCACCCACGTCACCTTGACCGGCATGACCAGCACGAGGCGGTACTTGTGGTTCTGGAGCTTCGTGTTGCGCTTGACTGATGCCTGTACGATGGCCAACTCGCCCCACGCAACCACATGGTCGGGCAGGACCGTCGTTTGGATGTAGTTGATCCAGCCGTCTTTGACAAAGATGTCGTTGATGGCAGGAAAGTCGTCGCATCCTGGGTACCAGTACGTTCCCGGTGGCAGGTCGTGTTGGAGGTACGCGAGGCAGGCTGCACTGGTGGCATGACCGCTCACCACGGCACAGCTGGCGTCGACGAGCAGCTGCTGCGACCCATCCTGCGAAATCAACAGCTTGAGGACTTGGTCAAATGCGAGCTTCGTCACGAGCGCGGTGAATTGCATCGCGTAGAGTGACGCGTTCGGCGTCGTCGCAGCCCACTCGACGGTCGACGCAAAGTTGTGGATCGATCCTTCCGACAATACATGCCGCAGCACAAACGTCGCGTCGTTGATGGTGTGGCTATGCTTGAGAGAAACGTACTGCTCGTACATCTCCGTGTCCTTGATGAACTTGAGTGTTTGCCGAAACCAGTACAAACGATCAAAATCGTTCACGAGGCTGTCCCGGAGCTGCTGAGGCTCAATGAGAAAACGACTGACGCTGCCACCTGAGACAGCATAGCGCTCGCCAAACGACTCTGTGAGTGTTGAACTTGCTGCTACCGCGGCCTTAAGCGCCGTCTTGGTCCATGCTGGCAGAAGAACCAGAACAAAGCTGGTATGCAGATAGTGCTTGGGAATGCTCGACACGGCAAGCAAGTCGCACCCGTAGAGCGACCTACAGTAGACCATGGCTCAGTGATAGCTCTCAGACCAAGTAGGACGTCTTACCCGTCGCCAGCAACTAAATGCTTCTTGCCGGCAATGAGGCACTCGCTCTTGAACTTATCTTGGAACGGGCAAACACTCTGAGCTTTTGCTGAAAACTCAGGGTCCTTGATGACGTGGCAGCCGGAGAAATGAACGATGAGCGTGTATGGGTAGGTGCTCAAGGCTCGAATGTAGAGAATGTCGTAGTCGTGGTAAGCTGCCAAGTATGCGCAGAAGACAAGAGCAACCACAGACTTGCCGACACCAGGCGAGCCGATCAACAGTACGCGAGATGGCGCTTGTCGCGCGGCTTCTTGCGCAGCGGCAGCTTCGGCTTGCGACATTGAGGCTTCGTTGAGCACTTTGCAGAACACGCTGTTGGCCTTTGCCTGGTACAGCGCTGCGCCTGCCGTGTTGCCGACTCCTTTCGACTTGGTCACATAGTTGGCAAACAAGAGGTCCCATGCCATCGTCATCTCCTTCCGGACGTAGATCTGGGCCGGCATCCCGTCATAGTCGTCGAAGAGGTTCGAGAGGACGCTCGTGTCGAGGTAGTCGCCAACATTGACAGTGCGGAGGTCGGGTACGTCGGTCTTGGGTAAGTCGCGGCTTTGGCCTCGCTTCCATGAAAGCTTTCTTTGCTTGGTTGGGCGACCTAAGGCCATGCGGATGAAGACACGCCCAAAAGCAGTGGAAACGGGAATGGTACCCTGATGCAGCTCGTGGTCCACAGTGTAGCTCGTGTTCTTCACGGGTGGCTCGTGAATTCCCTCGGATGCAAGGCCATTGACGTTGTCCGTTGTCGGCAGGCTGGGACGGTGTTGTTGCTTCTCGGTCATGGTACGTGATTGGAATGTACTACAGTAGTAGATAGCATGCCGCTCAGCCTGCCTTGTGGTCTGTCCAAAAACATCAAATTTCAGACCAATGGCCCTGAGAAAAGCCGTTGCTGCCGAAAAAGTCGCTGCACTGCAGATGTTCCAGTTGTATTCATGTATTTATCAACGGCAATTCCAATCCCACACCATGGCTGAGAAGACACTGTTTCGTTCTACAACTATTGGACGTGCGTCTTCATGCACATTGTCATAGAACGCCCCACCGAGCAAAGAAAGCTTTCGTGGAAGCGAGGCCAACGCCGCGACTTACCCAAGACCGACGTACCCGACCTCCGCACTGTCAATGTTGGCGATTACCTTGACACGAGCGTCCTCTCGCACCTCTTTAACGACTATGACGGGATGCCGCCCCAGATCTATGTCCGCAAAGAGATGATGATGGCATGGGACCTCTTGATCGCCAAATAAGTGACAACATCGCAAGGAGTCGGCAACACGGCAGGTGCTACCAGTCAAAGATGAACGGTGGATTCTGCATTGTGCTCAAGAAAGCCTCAGTGTCGCAAGCCGAAGCCGCGGCGGCGCGCGATGTCACGAGACAAGAGCCGGCCCGCGTTTTGCCAACTGGCTCGTCAGCTGTCGGCAAGTCCGTGGTTGGCCTCGTCTTCTGCGCCTACTTGGCGGCGTACCACGACTACGACATTCTCTACATTCGAGCTTTGAGCGATGACCCGTTCGTGCCCGTGCTCGTCGTTCGCTTCTCCGGCTGCCACGTCACCAAGGACCCCACGTTCTCACCAAAAGCTCCGAGCATCAGTCCGTTCCAAGATTCGTTCAAGAGCGAGAGCGTCGCTGTCGGCAAGAAACACTTGGTTGCTGGTGACGGGTACGAGTCCTACGTGTTCGAACTCACGGGTTTTGCACTAGGTCGCTTGACGGATGCGGTTTGCTCGCCGTATCGAGCCATCGTCTTATTTCCAAACACTAAAAATCCCCAGCGACTCGGTGCTGGTTCTTCTTCCAGCATGGACCAAAAGCACGCTTCAGGCCAAAGCCGCAACAAGCGCTGCGCAAATGCAGACCTTTGACGAGCGCTACGCTGTTTCGGGTGGCAGCGTCGGTCGCTTTCTCATGGACCCCAAGCAGCTCCGGGACAGCCTCGCGACCGAATACGATTTTTTAAACTGGTACTGGCGACAGCTTCGGTTCATCAAGGACGTGGACGTCTACGAGCAGTACCTCTCTTTCATACATAGCCACCCCATCAACGACGCCTCGTTTGCGCTGCGGCATCTATTGCCCGAGAGTACTATCGACAACTACGCCTATGATTGTAAGTGGAGTGCGTTGACGACGAACGCGTCGCTCTACGCGATGCAATTCACCGCGCTCGTGACGAAGCTCGCATTTGACCGAGTGCTCAAGCTGTTGATTTCGCAAGACAAACCCGAGCTGCTCATCGACGCCAGCTGTACCGTGGTGAGCGGTCATGCCACCAGTGCAGCTTGCCTCGCGTACCTCCAACACGACCTGCCACCGGCAACGTACTGGTACTCGGGATGCGACGACTTTCCTGCTGTCAATGGCATCTTTGTTCAAGACGGCTGGATCAACTACGTCCAGACGACGGTGCTGCCCGACCATGTGGTTGCGTGGGGCGAGTTGGCCATCGTCCACGCATCAGTCAAGCGCAACCCGAATCTCAAGGGATACAAGCACCGCTTGGTACTGGTCATGCCGGTCAAGGTGACGTGGGTCGGTCTCGAATTCGCACCCGAGATTGACGACGTGGTCGTGTGTACGGGGGTCGTTGCGCTCTATCGAGCCGTCGACTACGGCAAGCCGGAAGCCACTGAGTACATGTGTGTGTGTGGATGCCAAGAGGCGCCGGCCTCGCCCGGGAGTTTTACGTAACGAGGATGAAGGTCTTGTGGATTACTACTCGAGCGCATCGTCGGCGACGGCTTCGTCGTCGTCGGCTTCTTCGTTGTAGATGTTTTCGGCCATTTGCCAGATCTGCAGCACGTTGTCTTCGGCGACCGACGCGACGACCCACGGATCGTTCGGGTTCCACGAAAAATCGGAAATCTTGGCCGTGTGCCCACCGTGGATAAACTAGATGACGACGTTGCGTCATGAGACGACATCGAACCATACAAGGGTGGTCATACCAGCAGCTCGGGCGGGCCGTCTTCGGCGTCCTCGGGGCTCTGCTCCTCGCCAATCTTGCTGAGGTCCCACACGTGCATGCGGCGGTCCTGCGAGCACGACGCGAGGATCGTTTCATTGTGGGGCGACCACTCGACTTGGAACACGCCGTCGCTGTGGCCCGAGAACGTGTGCAGCTTGGAGCTGAGGTTGCGCATGTCCCAGAGGTTGACCGTCTTGTCCGACGACCCCGTCGCCAGTAAATATTCGCTAAACGGGCTGAACGAAACGCAGTTGACCTCGCCGTCGTGCGCATTGATGGACGTCATCGGCTTGTCATAGCTCTTGAGGCGCATGTCCCAGCTACAAGCGAGAGTATAGCGTCGAGTCCTGCGAATCATAGCGTTGCCGTTCGTACATGAGCAGCTTCTTGTCGTCGCCGACCGACCCAAATAGCTTTTGGTGGTGCATGTGCCATGCCACGTCCTCAATGATGTCCGTGTGGCCTGTGTACTTGTTGAGCGGCTGCACCGTCTTGCCGGCGTTCGCGAGGTCCCACTCGCACACGACGCCGTCGTCCGAGCCACTGATCAAGTGGTGGGCTTGGTGCGGGTCCCAGCATAAGCCATACCCCTCCTTTGTGTGGCCAAGGAGGCGGTAGTCGGGGTTGCAGCCCGTGCCCTCGGCCGGCGTCGACGGGTGTTTCGAGATGTCAAAGACATACACCTCGGACGAGACCGTCTTGGTCGCGACAATGAGCTCGTTCGACGGCATGTAGCGCGCGCGGTTGACCTCGCCGTCGTGGTTGATCTTGATTTGGACCTCGACCTTGCCCGAGACGCCGCCGAAACCACCCAATTCCGCCGACTCGTCGTCGTAGTTGCGCGCATCGATCTCCGTGTCCTCGAGCGGCAAGCGCACCTCGGCCACCATGAGGTAGTTCTGCGCGCCGTCGCTCGTGTGCGTCCCGAGGAGCAGCTTGTGGCTCGAGTAGTCCTGGCCGCTGCTCGTGTGCGACGACGGCAGCCACTGCACCGAGAGCGATGGCCACTCGAGCGCATGCGTCATGACGAGGTCGTAGAGGAACGGCGTGTTCTTCTTCCAGATCTTGTACTCCTCGGCAATCACGCGCTCCTGCGCCGAGGTCGACGCGTCCTCGGCGTCCGACGTCGGCGACTCGTTGCCCTTGGTCATTTTGGGAATAATTCGATTTAAAATCTTTTTGACGATTTATTGCAAGGTCCGGGTAAATGCGGACCCCAGCTTTCGAGAGCCCATGGGGTGGTCCCAGGGGTGGTCCCCTCGTACTTGATGTGCCATCTGGCGCACTTAGGATGTACATATTAGAACCAAGATTAGAGAATCGCGTCCGCACAAGTGCGTTCCCGCCAAAACCACCAAGGATTCCATGGACACCAGCATGCCACGAGGGCCCAAGACCATCAGCGACAGAGGAACCGGAGCACCAGAACACTACATACAACTTGTACCAGGAAGAGCGAACCTGGAAGTCGAAGGTCAGCAGAAGTCGCAGGGCAGCATGCAGCTCTAGTTCCGAAAGCCAATGACCAAGTCTCTTGACAGAGGTCCATGCATTGTGCCGTCGCCAGACGCAGCCGCACGCGAGAGATGAGATGCAAGAGGCTCTCGTACTCGTCAAGACAAGGCGTGTACATGGCTGGATTCATTTCTTGATGCAGGGTAGCCTATGGCTTATCGAATCGCCTTCTTGCATGGACCGCACTTGAACGCACGGCCGGCGCGCTCATACTTGGCCAAGCAAGACTCGTGGACGCGGGTCGTGCACGACGCCGTCGGGCAGCGCACGCTCTATGGACGCAGCAGCATGAGACGAGAGGTGGCGAGGAAGATGGGGTAACCTGGAGCACGTCGGACGAGCAGATCACGCATTGCTGGATGCCGAGCTCGCGGAGGAAGACGACGAGCTCGAGGAAGACGCGTGGCCCGAGCGTCGCTTGATCGTTGTTGAACAAGCTCGGCGCAAACCACTTTTCCATGTAGAGGCGCTGGAAGAGCGTCTTGACCTCTTGGAGGCTGTTGCCTTCGCGCAAATTGCAAAAGTCACGCGTGTCGAGCTCGCCATCGTCGCTGTATGCATCATGAGCAGGAGAAAGCAAGTGCGAGGAGATGTACCTTTCCACGATGGCCTCGATGGCCTTGCGGAAAAGGACGATTTCCCTACATTGGTGCATGTTTGCGAGATGGTCGTCTACGGAAGCCGTGGGTACCAAGGCTTGAACGTGTTGCTGAGCTTGGTCAAATCGTCATTGCTCTATGCAGCGAGATGTTCATGCCAGGCGATGGATGATGTGGGCCATACCGTGTTGATGATGCCATAGTACATCTCACCGTCGTCGTACATCGCGCGCTTGATGTCGAGCGAGTATGGTCGAATCAAGGTCGCAATATGGGTTGTGAGATCGCCAAGCTGCTTTGTCGAGAAGTCTACCGCCATGGGTCAGCGCGGCCAGCGCATGCGTGGCGTTACCTTGGCCGCAGATTTGATCGCAGAGCGTCTTGAGCTCCGACTCGGAGATGGAGCCATGCGCCTACCGAGTTCCAGCGAGGATGAGACCATCGAGAAGGCTGCCGCATGGGCGTACCATGAAGACTTGGAGGATCTTCTGCTCGGTCGCCATGCTGCTCCTGCCGCTTCCTCCGAATTGGTTGACCGCGAAACTGGACTCCTTCGATGACGATTGGCTGAAATAGCCAGCATTCTATCCAATCCCATGGATGCAATAATACCAGCTCTGATTGGCCAAAATACGTCAGTTGATGGAGCCAATGAAGCCTCCCGGAGGATCGACAATTGTGATTTGTGGCAGAAGCATCGCGATGTTCATTCAGCGGACCCGCTTCCTCGGGCGCGCCCATGCCCACCAAGGAACGAAGGCGTTTAGCTCGTTCATGCTCGTGGATCCGAAGGCGGCCAGCCCAGATGCGTCCAATGAGCTGACGCCGGAGCAAGTGGTGTACCAGCTGGACCAGCACATCATTGGGCAGACCGACGCCAAGAAGGCCGTGGCAATCGCGTTGCGCAACCGCTGGCGCCGCCGCCAGCTCGACGGGCCGATGCGCTCGGAGATTTCACCGATGAACATCCTCATGAGCGGCCCGACGGGCTCGGGTAAGACGGAGATTGCGCGTCGCTTGGCCAGGCTCACGCAGTCCCCGTTCGTCAAGGTCGAAGCGACCAAGTTCACCGAGGTTGGTGTCTACGGGTCGAACGCTGACTCGATGATCAAGGACCTCACAGACATTGCCATCGACATGGAGCGGGAGGCCGCCAAGAAGGCGAACGCGAGCGCGGCCCGTGCCCGTGCGATCGAGCGCGTTTTGGACCTCATTGCGCCCGCGCACTCGTCGTCGGACGCGTTGCGCCGCAAGTTGCGCGCTGACATTGCGTCGGGCGATGCCGATGATCGTCACATCACGGTCGTGCTCAAGCCGATCGAGTCGACCCATCGCCGACGCGGGTCGCCCGAGGACATGATGATGGAGCTGCCGCCCGAGCTCCAGCAGATGATGAAGCAGCTCAGCGGCGTCCTTGGCGCCCGCGACGGGCAGCCCAAGAAGCAAGGCCAAACCATGACGGTCAAAGAAGCCCTCCCAAAGCTCGAAGCGGAAGAGGCCGTGAGCGGCCTCAACGAAGACGACATTGTGCAGCGCGCGATCGAAAACGTCCAGACGAACGGCATTGTCTTCCTCGACGAAGTCGACAAGCTCGCGCAGAACAACGACAACCGGAGCTTCCGCAAGGGCGAAGGTGTGCAGAAGGAGCTCCTCGCGCTCACCGAAGGCTGTGCCGTGCACACGCGGTACGCCTCTCGAATGACAACTCGTCCACATTTCAGAGTATTTCTTAGCCATGGCATTGTGCACACGGACCACATCCTCTTCATTGCCAGCGGTCGGCTCGATCCGTCGCTCCGCATTTTCACTCAAAGCGTGTTCTAGGCGCGTTCCACAACTGCAGTCCGTCCGACTTGATGCCTGAGCTCCAGGGCCGGCTTCCGATCCGCGTCAACCTCTCGCCGCTCACGGAGAAGGACTTTGTGCGCATCCTCACCGAGACGCAGGTACACCGAGCGCCTCTTCTGCCGCAATAGAGGTCCCGACGGATGTGAGATCTTATTAGTACAACTTGCTCGACCAAGTGCGTGCGCTCATGGCCACCGAAGACGTTAGCGTCGTCTTTACCGACGATGCGATCGACGAAATTGCGTCCGTCTCGTCGCAGGTCAACGTGCAGACGGACAACATTGGCGCGCGACGCCTCGCGACGGTCGTCGCCAAGATCACGGAGCACGTGTCGTTCCACGCGCCGTCGCTCAAAGCGTCGACGATTACCATCGACAAGGCGTACGTGCAAGAGCACCTCAAGGACATTTTGCAAAAGACCGACTTGACCAAGTACATTTTGTAACCAAAACGTTACTTTTTCACCTTTTTGCGGGTTTTTGCCGCGTCTTTCGTGCCCTTGCGCTTACTGGTCGTGGCCGATTTGGTCAAAGTCGTCTTGGCCACGACGACGTTGTCTTCCTCGGACGACGAGTACAACGGCGGTGGCGCCGACGCCGACGAGCCCGAGAGCGACCCGGCTTTGGCCTTGGCCGCCTTGTTGGTTCGTTTCGTTGGCTCCTTCTCACTCTTCTTGGGCGCGTCCTTGTCCTTAAGCTTTTTGGGTCTCGGCGCTGCGGGTTCTGGTGCCGGCGACGACTCGGGCGATCGTTCGACGAGCTCGCCTTGCGGCGCCGAGCAGCTCGCGTGCAGTTCGTCCCAGCTGTTCATCCAGCACACAAACGGCTAGCACCAGTAGCATGTGAGTGCATTGCACGTCGGCAAGGCGACCTACCTGTAGCACTTTTCGCGGGTCCATGCCTGCGAGAAGCGGGCGCTTCTTGTGGCACACTTGGCACTGCACAAACTGCCGGCTACCGTCGTCGTCTTTGGCGTCGGTATACTTGAGGTCCTGCATGGCCTTCTCCATCCGCTTGAGACGCTGGGCAAATTGGTACACAAACTTGCGTTCCTTGAGCGACTTGAGGTCCGTGTCTTTGAGGGGCACGACCGTGGTCTCTTCGGCCGCCGAGCATTTCTATAGGAAGAGCCTCTCATATCTCCTCGTAGCATACCAAGGTAGCGTACGTTGAAGCGACGACTCCACTTGTTCATGCGGCAATACCAGATCGCAGGCAGCCCCGAGACGTCGACCGTGTCTAGCTCACAGTCGGATAACGAGCCGCTGCAGCTGGCGAGACCTACCTGGCAGCTTGCGCCACTTTTGGCACTTGTCACATTGGACCCAGTTCTCTTCTTTGGACGAGTGGCCGATCGCCAGCTGCTGCACAGTCTCGGGCGCAGCATCCACCTCGCTCTCGTCGTTTGTCTTGGTCTCGTCGTCGTCCTTGGCGTCGGTCGTCGTCGTCGGCGCAGTCTCTGGCTCGATGTAAATACCGACTTCAAACCCGAAATAGTCGAGGCTCTCGTCGCTGTCCTTGAAGTGGGGCATGTTGGTTGGCCATAGCGACGTGATGTACTTGAGCCGGTCCGTTGGCGACGGCTTTGGTACACGATGGGCCGTGGGCACGACGGCGTCGACCTCGTCCATCCACGAGTCGTCGCTGCGCAATACGGCAGCCCTAGACACAGGCATGTCGCTGAGCCCATTTTCACGCGCGCCTACTTTTTCGCGTCCATCTCAATATCGATGCAGTACTGCTCAACGAGAGCTTCGCGCAGGCGGAGGATCTCGTCGTCGCGGCTGCGCGGCAGCTCGCCATACTCCTTGATGAACTGCGTTCGATTCAGCGTCGTGTCGTGGTACTTGATGCACGCTGCAAAATGCGATACAATGTCGGCTTCGTTCGCAGGCTTGCGCGTCGTCGTGTCAAACACATCAGGCAGCGGCTGCGCCGTCTTGTCCCATTGCAGTAGGTACGCGTCGATGCGCTCGGCGACGAGGGGCTCCTTGGACCAGCCGCCTACGAAGCCGAGAAGCGTCATGGGCCGCGCCACGCATGCGCCGATCTACCTCGCATCTGGACGCGGGGCGACGCCGTCGCGACCGCGCTTGCTCTACCACCGTCGTCGTCCATCGCGCCGACGCCAATATCTTGTAACAACCCTTTCCAAAGAAACACGAAAATGGAAATCCCCAGCACCGTCCGGACGCAAGCATCCGGATACGCCCGCCGTCACGTATCCAGCAAATCTATTTTTAGACACACGTGTAGCCAGGCGCCGTCGAGTTTTGAGCCGAGATCGACCCACATTGCACTAGCTTTGAAGAACTCTCCTGCTGCTATAACCACGAATACATTAGCTAAGATCTGAGCCGGATACAATGCACAGACCGTAGAGTTGGGTGCTCGGGCCTACAGTGATTGCGTATCGACCAGTTTTCGCGCCACTTTTCGGCCTACGTAGAGCACTCGACATGACGATGGTAGCGTCAATACAACATGAACACGGCGGTATTTGCTGCACTGGGTCAACGAGGCGACTCTACGGATGACGCAGAGGTCGTCCAGAACGCTTGAGCAGGAGTATATGTCGCGATGCGCGCCAACAGAAAGGCAGGATGCGTCCTGGGTTGCGTCGCGCCATCGGTTGCACGCTATTTTAAGTGACTCTAATTCCACCGACTCGGAGTTTGGTTTTGGAAATGGCCAGCGCGGACGCCTTTGCAGGCTTCCTCAAGCAACTACGAGAGACGCATCAAGCCGGGCCCCCGATTGCGGTGCGTCTCGATGAGTTTACGTGGCAAAAGCCGTCCACAAAGACTGACCCCGAGTACATATTGCACAACATCTCGGCCACGTTTCGGCCTGGCACGATGACGCTGGTACGCGCACGCTCCAATACTGACTGCGATCTTCTAAGTACTTGCGTCATGTAGATCTTGGGTCCGCCCGGCTGCGGTAAAACAGCGCTGCTCAAGACGATCGCGGGCGTCTACCACTACAAAGGTCCTAGCTCCAAAAGCCACCGCCTGCAAGGCGACGTAAAGTACAACGGCAAGCCACCCAATGCGCTACCGATGAAGCATCTCGCCGCCTTTGTCGGTCAGAAAGATGACCATATTCCGACGTTGACGGTCCAAGAGACGATCGAGTTTGCCCACACGTGCCGCGCGGCCGCCGGGGAAGACGGCGTGTGGACCGCCAACGCGATCATCGACGGACTCGGTTTGCGTGGCTGCGCGCACACGCTTGTTGGCAACGACATGATTCGCGGCATCAGCGGCGGCCAGAAGCGGCGCGTCACGATCGCCGAGATGCTCACGGGCAAGGAAAGCCTCGTGCTCCTCGACGAGTACTCGACGGGCCTCGACACGACCGTGACCCTCGATTTGACCAAAAAGTTGCGTGACATGTGCTCGACGCTCCAGTACACATTTGTCTGTTCGTTGCTTCAGCCACCTCCCGAGGTCTACGCGCTCTTTGACAATATCATTCTCCTCAACGCCGGCCACGTCGCCTACATGGGCCCCCGCGTTGCAGTTGCCGAGTACTTTTGCTCGGTCGGGTACGCCGCCCCCGCGCGCGTCGACGAAGCCGACTTTCTCCAAGAAGTCACAACCGACCTCGGCCAGAGCTACACGCTGCCGCCTGAGAACGGATACTCACCGCGGCTCGCCAAGCTGCCGTCGACGCCCAGTGAGTTCCAAGCTGCGTTTGCTGCGTCATCGTACTATGGCGCGCGCCACGGCCCCGACACTGAAGTGCCATCGACGTCCATTCTTGCCAAGGCGCGGCCATCGGCGTGGCGCACGTTCAAGATGGTGTTTGCGCGGCAATGGAAGCTGGTGCTTCGGGACAAGCGCTTCAATCGCGTCCGCGTCGGCCAAAACACTGCATTTGGGCTCATCATCGGTTCGCTTTTCTGGCAGGTGGGCTTTGGGCCGTCGACCGTGCCGGCTAAAGTGGGTCTCGTGTTTCTCACAATCCTTTTCACGTCCGTCACGACGATTTCCAACATTGCCTACACGATCGAAGTGCGCAACATCTTCCACAAGCAAGCGTACTTTGGCTTTTACCCGCCACTTGCCTACGCGTTTTCCGAGTCGGTGATTGAAGTCGGTGCCGCCATGATCCAAGTCTTCCTCTTTACCATCACGTCGTACTGGATGTGCGGCTTTGCGAATCCGGACGGGGCCGGCGTCGAGTACGGGTTCTACTACCTCGTCGTCTTCCTCAACTCGGTGTGCATGTGCCAAGTGTTCAAGAGCGTTGCGTCCATGGCGCCGACGCCGACGGCCGGCGTCTCGGGCGCATCAGGACTCATTTTCCTCGAAATCGTCTTTTCCGGGTTTGCGATTCTCTACGATGTAATGCCGAAGGGCCTTTCGTGGATCTACTGGATCAATCCTGGTGCCTGGACCTTCCGCGCGCTCCTCATCAACGAGTACGGGTCGTCCGAGCCTGCGTACGATGCGCTCCAGCCCGCGTTCAAGCTGCGCCTTGGCGACTACTACTTGACGCTCTACGGTGTCTCGCTCGACCGAAGCTACCGCCTCAACGGTGTCATTTACCTTCTCGGGTTCTACGCTGCCATGGTGCTGCTTGCGACAGCAGGGTACAAATTTGTGCGCCCGCGCATTGTGCATGCGGCCCAGCACCATTCGCGTCTGCTGTACCATTTCAACAAGAAATCGCAAACGACATTTCGCGCCTCGGTCAACGACATTGTCAACAAACACCCCGTCGAGTTTACCCCGACGTCGCTCTCGTTCCAGGACCTCTTTTACACTGTCCAGGTGACTCGGTACGGAATGGGAATCTCGTGTTGAACCTCAACTGTAGATCCAGCACAAGAAGGGCAAGGGTAAGAGCGCTGTCTCGGACACTATCGTGCTTCTCCAGGGCATCCATGGGCACTGCCGGCCGTTTACGCTCACTGCGCTCATGGGCTCGAGCGGCGCCGGCAAGAGCACGCTCTTGGATGTGCTTGCTGGCCGAAAAAACACGGGGGTGATCAAGGGCAACTTGTACGTGAACGGCCAACCGCTCACGAAAGCCGATCAGAAGCGGTTTGGCTACGTCGAGCAAACAGACATTCACTGCATGAAGACGACGCTCGACGAAGCCTTCCACTTTAGCGCGCTGCTTCGGCTGCCCGAGAGCGCGCAGAGCAACGCCAACAACATTGTCGACTCGACGATCCATCTCTTAGAGCTCGTGACCGAGTCCAAGAAGATGCTGTCCGAGCTCTCGAGCGAGCAAATGAAGCGACTCACGATCGGCGTCGAACTGGTCGCAAATCCATCCGTGCTCTTCTTGTACAAAGACGATTCTTTTCCTTTTTGTATCATTTTTTCATTTGTATGTAGAGACGAACCAACGAGTGGGCTCGATGTGCACGCCGCCCATGTGGTCATGGTCGCCGTCAAGCGCATTGCCGCCGCCGGACGCACAGTGATTTGCACGATCCACCAGCCGAGTTTGTCGCTTTTTGAGCTGTTTGACAAACTCATTTTGCTCCAAGCCGGCGGCCGCACCGTCTACTGTGGTCCAATTGGGCACGAGAGCGCCGACCTCCTTCGCCACTTCGAGTCGATTCCAAACGTCCGCGCGTGCGGCTTGACGGAGAACCCCGCAACGTACATGCTTGATGCGCTCGCGGGCAATCCGACAATTGATTTTCACGAAATTTACACTAAGTCGGAAATGCAAGCGCGCAACCTCCAAGCCATCACGACGGTCGTGACGCCCAACGCATCGACATCCAATGTACTAATCGCCAAGTCCACCGAGCGCCCGTCGTCGGTGTTTTCGCATCAGTTCCGCCTCCTCCTACTGCGCACCGCGCGCAAGTACTGGCGCACAAAAGACTATAGCATCGGTCGTCTCGTGGTCGGCATCTTTATCGCGTGCTTGCTCGGGATCCTCTGCTCCGTGCCCGAGCTCCAGTACTCGACCCAAGTGCAGTCGCAGCTCGGCATTTGCTTTATCTACCCCATGTTTATGGGCATCATCTCCATCAACACGGGTAGAAAAATGGCGCACTCGATACATTGATACCAATGGGACGCTGCTCTAGGACTGGCGGTCGTCGACGCCGAGCGCATGGTGTACTTTCGAGAAACATCGTCCGGCATGTACGCGACGAGTCCGTACTCGATCGTGTTTGGCCTCGTCGAAATTCCGCTCGTCATGCTCAATGCGGTCATTCACGTGGTCATATTCTACTACGCAGTGGGGCTCAACACGGTCAACGCCGAGGCCTTTCCGTGGTTCCTCCTCTTCTTCTTCCTCTACACTTTGTATGCGACGTACCTCGGCCAATGGCTCGTCGTGACGTTGCCGGATCTGCGTACCGCCACGGTGCTCTCGGGGGCGCTGAGCTCGATTTTTTCGATTTTCAGCGGCTTTTTCATTCATTACGACAGTATTCCGACCGGGTGGCGCTTCCTCTACTGGATCTCGCCGCTGCACTACGTACTCGAAGGCGTCTTTGGCACGCAGTTTCTGTTAAACAACAGCACGGTGCTCATGGGGTCGCCGTCCAAAGTGCTGTCGCCGCACCCCGTCGCCGTGAAGGACTTTGTCACCAACATGTTTGGGACCTCGATCAAGTACGAGAATCGTGTCTACGATGCACTCGCGCTCGTCATCTGGATCTTCGTGCTTCGTATTGGCAACGTTGTCTCGCAAAAATACCTCTCGAGCGTGTCGCGCTAGTCCTTTCGTATATAAACCTCAATGCTATCGATGTACTATTGCTAGTAAGACGATCATACATTCGACCTCGACGAAGGTAGCGGATCTGCTTACTAGAACTAGATGCACAGTACTATTGTAGTTTTAGAGCAAAATATAGATTGCGAACAGGAACATCATGTTGCCTGGTACCTTATCTAGCTAGACAGACCTAGCGTATTCGGCCAGTGCTAGTTCGAGGGAGGCCTTGACCTGGCTAGCCGTCGGTCGTTCATCTGCGTTCGGGTTCCAGCTTGCAAATCCGCTCGGGAACCGACGTGTCCATCGTCGGCCGTACGCCGCTTTCGACGCTCTTCTCCAAAACAAACTCGGTTGTAAACCTCATGTCGCTGTTGGGCTCGACGAGCATTGCGATCTCCGAGAGAATGATACCGAACGAAAAAATGTCGGCTTTCGTGGCGTGGACCATTCGGCCGGCAAGGATCTCGGATACCATCCACAGGTATGTCCCGACGCCAGCGACTTCGTTGTAGCTGTTGGGGTTGGCTATGCGCACGGCCTCACCCAAGTCAACGATCGGAATCTCATTCTCGGGCGCGAGCATGATGTTAAGCGACTTGAGGTCCAAGTGCTCGATTCGCCACTTATGGAGGTACTCGATCGCCGTGATGATCTTGAGCGCAATCTTGCAGCGCTCTCGCCACGGAAACGTCGCCTGCTGCTTGATCTGCCTGAGTTCCTTGGAGAGGTCGTTGCTGGTGTTGTGTCTGGTTCGGTCAAGCCATGCCAGGCCGATGCAAGCGTGTATCGCTGGAGAGTTATGACTCCAGGAAGCGAGTAGCCTAGAGTCTTG